CACACACACACACACACACACACACACACAAAAGAGGACACACACACACACACACACACACACAAAAGAGGACACACACACACACACACACACACACACAAGAGGACACACACACACACACCAACCCCAGCCAGACCCCTTTTTTCTTTATTTGTTTTCAATTTTTGCATCTTAATTTTTTTTAAACACCCATTTCCTGACTCAAACCCGAAAAACATTTCCCAAAAAATACAGGACAACTCAGCGACCATGCCCCTCGTGATAAAAAATGACAAAAAAAAAAATCTGCTTTAAAAAAAAAATAAAATTGTTTAAATCGATTTTCGTTTTTCATTTTTTGAAAGTCTTCATCGAAGTCGGATTCCAAAATATAATATATAGGATTGTAGGGTTTCCCAAGCCCTACAACCCTATATTTTTATTTTTTATTTTTTACATATTTTTAGCAATATAAAAAAATATTAAAAAAACAGGCCGTGGACAGGGCCTCATTGGCCGTGGCCGCGAATTACCTGCGGCGTAGGCCTCAGGTGTCACGTAGCCCGGAAGGCATCTTAATTCCTGAACAAATTTGAAGGAGGACGAATCATTCAATCCAATACCTCACTGAATGACGTATTAGGCAAGTTTCAAAAAATAGCGCGCCGTAGTTTCACAGCAAAAATATTGGCGGGGCCCAAGTTTCGCTGCAAGAAAGAAAAAAAGGGGGCGGCTGCTCCTGAGTCACGGGTACAGTTTCGAATAGGTAAAAAAAACACCTGTAGGCAGGTCTACCACGGCCCACGTTTAGAATAGGCAACTATAACTCAGACCTGCGCTTGGGGCATGGTCAGTGTTTGGTTAGGCAGTTTTGTCACTGTGTGGACTTGTTCCTTCCCGGTACCCGGCCGGTCCACTTTATTGGAGACGTTGGGTGGGTGGGGGAAACCCCACGTTCCCAATCTTTGGGACCGGCAGCCAACGTTCCCATTGGCCAGTGGACGTACCGTGAGCAAACAAAAGAAAAACATCCCGTGAGTTCAGCGCCTATTCGCCGCCATCTCTCTCTCTCTCTCTCTCTCTCTCTCTCTCTCTCTCTCTCTCTCTCTCTCCTACCTTTCCTTCTCCCCTGCCCCCTCCAAGGCGCCCGTGCCCTCCCCCTCCCCGCGGCAGTCCCGTCTTCCCCCGTGTGCACGACGACGGACCTTCATTTCAGCTGAACCCGGCCGGAAAGATTGCTTGTGTTGGCTACCGGGAGGGACTACGGGATGAAGATGGCCGCGTCTTCTCGCATGTGCGCAACAACCGATATGATTGGATGTATGAAAAAGAAAAACGCAGAAAAGAAAGAAAGAAAAAGAAAGAAAGAAAGAGAGAGAGAGAGCCGGGGAGAGAGAGAGAGAGAGAGAGAGAGAGAGAGAGAGAGAGCCATGCTTAGCCTATGCTAACCTCCTGAATGTGTGTTTTTCCCTGGCTGTTACGTTCATTTTTGGACGAATCTTGCCGCATCTATTCGTTACATTCAGTAGAACTGAATATGACGCAAATTTAATCCAGCAATGAACGCAGCCCAGCCCGCAGAGAGAGAGAGAGAGAGAGAGAGAGAGAGAGAGAGAGAGAGCTCAGGGCCATACGATGCTACGAACCTCTTGAATCTCGATTCTTCATTTTTGGAGGAACCTGGCCACATTTACTGGTTACATTCAGTCGAACTGAATACACCGCAAATTTCATCCCGCACGGAGCGCAGTGCGCGCAGACACAGAGAGAGAGAGAGAGAGAGAGAGAGAGAGAGAGAGAGAGAGAGAGAGAGAGATCTGAGACACAGTAGAATACTTTCATGTGAGGGCGGCAAATCCCGCATAGACATTTCAACTCCCTCCTTTCAAGAGAGAACTGATTTGCAATAAAGAATCCCTCCACTTTTTCCCCAAAAAACAAAAGCAAAAAAAAAAAACAAACCTGACGAACGAACTAATTCGAAGACTAGGGGGCAGTGCCGCCCCCCTGGTTTTCTACCCACACGTAAAGAAGCATAACTCCTCCGACATCACGGGTTGAACTGACGTCGAAAGATGATCTACAAATCCATGAGGGCAGACATTACAAAAGAAAAGACAGAGAGAGAGAGAGAGAGAGAGAGAGAGAGAGAGAGAGAGAGAGAGAGAGAGAGAGAGAGAGATTTAAGGACAGACAAATTTAGAGAGAGAGAGAGAGAGAGACAGACAGATTTGGACAGAGCTTAATGAACTTGACAGTAGTGTGGCGTAATCTGCCCCGGATCTGCACATTTGCCACGTAGATTAAACAGCTATTATTAACAGGTCTGTCGAGGACGAATGGCCCTCACACAGGCTCCCACACAGGTGGACACGCCGTCCTGCGGAATACCAAAACGAGCTACTGACAGGCCAGACTACATCTGCTGAAAAACTGCATTGCGCATACCCCATAGCCTCCACCTCTGATTCCGCTAAAGATATCCAAGACGGCACACCTGCCCAGTGCCCACATCTCCGACCCTCCTCACCCGCTATCCTCAACCTGCGAAATGGTGGGTGGGGTTCTCAGTTCTGCGGACACTGCCTCCATTGGAGGTTGAAGATGAGCTGGAACTTGGTATCCTGGGAGTCGAGCGCCATCACAGCCTTCGCGCCCTCCACTCTCACCACCGTCTTGATGTTCAAGTTGGGTGCGTTGTTGCACTCGCTCCACACAAACGTCAGGAAGTCGTCCGTGAACTCGAAGCTGCCAACCTGCGGGCCTCCGATTTTGCGCTCGATCGTCGCCGTACCCGTTTGTCCCGAGAAGTAGTAGTGTGACTCGTAGATGCCGGCGGAGTCCTTGGCGATGTCAGCGAAGCCGCGGCCTGTGGCCTGACCGATGGAGACGCTCCAGCCATCCGGGTAGATCATATTGAAAGACATCTGGCAATGCTTCCTCTTGTCGGCGAGCGACCCGTCCGTGGTCGCAACCATCCCGCCGAACATGAAGGTGACCGTCTTGTAGTCGTTGGACAGCACGTAGTTGGTGTTCTGATAATCGCAGCCCGAGCCTGCGTAGTTGACATAGCTGATGGTCACCTCCGGCGGAGCCTGTGCACTTGCCTGAACCGCAAAAACGACCAGAAGCAAGGCCAGCAGAAACGCAGAGTGCGCCATCGTCCACTACTTCACCTTCCACCTCCCCCTGAGCGCGCTATTGTCCGCTCCTTCAGCTTCCACCTCCCTCCTCCTGAGCACGCTTTCCTTACGTGCGACAGAAAGGCACTCCTCTGAAGACACGAAAGCAGCGGCAAAACACAACTACTCGATGCTCCGCTCGACCCCCCACTCGTCGAAGTTTCTCCTACCAGTGTGCGTGCAAGCAACCAACACGGATTGCGAGTGCGTGCGCGATCTACTAAGCTAAGACAGTCGAGTCGATGTCTAGTCGAGGCAGCTCTGTTCGCTTTTATACACTTGCTCGCGGCAGTCATGGGGTCATCGTGAGTGAGACAAGGCCTCGCTTCACTCTGCCGCTTTCAGCCTAGTCCGTCCTCTCATGTTTTCTTTCTCTCTCTTTTTTTTTTTTTTAAGAAAATCCTGGATTCTGGAACACTTTTTTCTCTTCTTCGATATCTCACAAACCAAGAAAACAATTGTGTTCCGAAGATTACGTTTGTTTCATTTCTGCTTTGTCCTTGCCGGGCGAGGTCCCAATAGCGTAGAGGAATGGATTGAGGGTGCGTTTTACGCAGAGATGCAGAAACGCAGATCAATCCCGATTTTCGGCACGCTCACATTCCCCCACGGGACCTATAATCCCCAGTCCCGCCCCGAAAGGGGTGGCGGGCGGATAGCACAGATTCGCCGAAGTACCACATCAGATCCAAATGTACTATTGGTGTGCCCATCTGTCAGCCAGGAAAAGGGATTCTGCGGTCATGCCCTATATGTTTTCGCATTTTCGTCAAAAAATGGCAAAAGTTCGTTCACAAAAATTCTTGCACAATTTGTGGATGGCGCCGCGTGACCAGCAAAGCACCAAATCCCCACTTACCCAGACGCCCGCGACCTTGTCCCATCCGAAAAGGTACAGCAGTGTGACGTGTACCATGCCTAGAACCTCAAATCGGCCCTAACCCAAATCCGCATAATCTGCATATTTTGCGGATTTAGGGTAGCAGTGTATGCCCTCAAGCGTCGTAATCGAGAAAATTCGAACCATGGCCCCCTGCGGAAGGATGACAAGAATAAATAGAGAAATGCTTCAAGTTAAATCAAGAAAAAAAAGAAAGTTTGGCGGTGCAGAACAACCACGTGTCGTTACGGGAGGAGTAGAGAAACCTTCTCCTCCGCAGAAAGATTTTACCAACGTGCCTCAGAAGCTCAGGGCGATGTGATAACGTGCCACTGTCGTCGTGTTTTCTTCTTTTCCTGATGTGATAAAGTACAGCAATCTAGCCCTGTGCTTGTGTCTACGTGTGCACTCTGTACATGGGAGATGCTGGTTTGACTGCATATGTGGTTGATGCTGTCCTTTCCTCGCTCAGGGCACGCACCTTTTTTTTTTTTTTTTTTTGGAGTGTCGTACAGGCCAAGGACCAGACTCGCGGTGATTGCTGGTAGTAGCGGCAGCCAATGGATATCCTCACAGGATAGGCCACCTACCCTACCCATCCCCACTTTAAGGGTCTCGCTCCACTACTGTCCACTGTACAAAAACGGACAGTCGTACTTTGCTCCACTTACTGTCCACTGTACATGTGCAAAATGGCTTGGACAGTTTGGAGCAACCCCGTCGGAAATCTGCTGCCGTGAATGTACAGCTCCCAGCCTGCAAAATTCGTTTAGTGGAAAGTCCTTCAAGGGACTCACCGTGAGGACCCGAATTTGGACAGTGCACCTAGAGTCCGGGCGGGCAAAATCCTTTGAACGCCCTGTCTTGACAGTCGTTACGCGGAAAGTCCTTTGAACGCCCTGTCTTGACAGTCCGGGCCTGCAAAATTCGTTACACGGAAAGTCCTTCAAGGGACTCACCCTGAGGACCCAAATTTGGAGAGTGCACCTGGAGTTTGGGCGGACAAAACCCTATGGACGTCCTGTCTTGTAGTGCTATCACTGTGTCTGGTAATGAAGCCACGAATTTGAGAGGTGGACAGCGACAGTAAGTGGAGCGGTGTCGCATTTTCCACTGTCCGCTGTACAATTTTTCGCTCTGACAACTGTCCACCAACTGTCCAAAAAATTGTACAGTGGACAGTAGTGGAGAGAGACCCTAATACTCCCAGTGCACCCCCTGTCCCTACTATCCGACCTCAGTGTGACCAGCACTCAGGACCATCACCCTACCAGTATTGAGTGCAACTTGGACCAGACAGCAGTGACAAGCACCAAGGCTGGGCCAAACTCCCAGCCCTGATGGAAGCGGAAGCGGACGAAACTTGCTGTACGGGAGCTTCGGATGCCAGGCAAAACCGTAGTTTCTTAAAAAAAAGGGACGCCCGCTTTGGGAAAATAAAGGGTGGACCTGTCACACTGCTTCCCCATTTCACAACACACAAGGTTGCCGCCTGGTTGCGGCCACCTGGCTTTTGGGTCCTCTTCGAATGCTCCATTCACACTGCGAGATCGCATTTCCTGGCAATGTCTTGGTCCTCCAATTTCTTTCCATTTCCACCGGTTGATTCCAAACAACAATAAGAAATTTGCGGTAACCTCCTGAGGTTACCACAAATTCATAACCCCCGTAGGCCTCTGACAAATGGGGTCACGAATAAGTAGTTTGGGGAAATGAGATCCTGATGTGACTATCCCTCGGCACTATTTTTTTTGGGATTTCGTACCGCAGTGTGAGCGTGCCCTCAGTTGGTACACCCACAAACTGTGGAGGCCCGCCCCACATGCGGCCACGTGGCAAAATGAACACTGAACAGTGTTTGACATAGCGCAGGTTCGGAGGGAAAAGGCTGGTGGGCCCGAAAACATCCATTGAAACCCCAATCGGGGAAAAAAGAAGAAAACAAATGAGAAACTGGGCTTGACAGCACTATTTACTCAGAAGTCTTGCCTTGCTGGCAGAGCAATAATCTTGCAAAGAAACAAAACCAAAAAACGAAAGGAAAACAAAGATGGATTTGGACGTAATATCCGTCCAATACATTCTGGAAAGTTGTGGTGTGAATATGCCCTCCGGCCTGGACCCACTACCGTTGTGGTTGACTTTTTTTATTACGTGCCGAGGTGGGTGACAGACAGGAACCGCACATCTCACTTGGCATCTACGGGCCCGCCTGATGCAGTGCCTGATGCAGTGTGTGGTCGTGCCCATGAAAAAGCGCGGACCAATGACGAGGCTGCTACTAGATTTTTGTTTTGATATTAAACATTCATGTTGGTCTGGATTTCCAGACTTTTTGGGTGGGGGCGTGCGGTGCTACAAAAAAAAAAAAAAAATAGTGGGCAGTTACATTCTTTCCGTCATATGTGGCGGTTTTATTGCAGTCGGGATGTAGACAGGGTATGCGCCATCTTCTGTATAGGACGGCAAAGAATCCTAAGATGTTGTAGTTGCACCGCTGATTTTGTGTATGCTGTCTCCTTCGCAGTGCATGTGAAAAAGGTTAGCCCTAGAGTGGAGGCTGGCTTGCCTCCTTTGAGTCCTTTCCCGAGGATCCCTTGTGACGCGGCGAGCACTTCTCCAACATGGGAGGCAGTTACAAAAAAATCAACGATAAAAAGAAATATAATGGAAATCAATTTTGTTTGATTTATTTAAAAAACACTTAAAAACCATTAAAAAAACACAAAAAAGCTGTCACACATGGTAGAATACTTTGCTGAGTGAGGGCATTCCCAAGAATGTAAATAGTGGAAAACAAAAAAAAAAAAACAACGAATGGGAGATGTGGCTATGATAGGGATCAGATACAGTATAGAAACTACGGGTGTGAGTATGCCTTTAGTGACGGTCTTTTCTGAGAAGGCGGAATACGCCCTGCCTCGTTGGCAGGGCACTACAAGAAAGAAGAAGGAAATAAAAAGAAAACAAAAAGACAATGATTTGGCAGTGATAGTGGTCAGATACCCTCTGGACAGTACTATTGTGAGTATGCCCTAGGTCAGATGGCTTCCCCCACATCTCTTTTCTGTTTCTATCATGAAACGGCAACGGCATTTGTTCATCATTGATTTCGATTTTAGTTTTTTTGTTTTTTTGTTTGTTTGTTTTTGCTTGTCTTTTCTGTGCCATCTGCAGGCACGAGGTACAGCACTTAAGTTTCATGGTAGGCTAGTACCATTATGGTCAGTACCCCAAGATGTTTCTTTTCAGCCTCTTACTGTTCCAGAGGTGGTCTCAAATTACCTTTCGTTTTTTTTTTTTTATGTTCCCGATTAGAAGAAAATCATAGATGAAGAAAACAGCCCGCCAAATAACTAGAACTGCGACAGAAACATTTACGTTGTAGCCACACGTTATAGAGGCGTCAAAAAGAAGAAAAAAAAAAATCTATCTTTTTGTTTGGTCCTCGCCCGGGACGCACTTGCTCTGAGTGCAAAGTGTCAGGACGACAAGTGTGCAAAGTGTCAGGGTAGCTACTTCGTCCTTTCTGGACGAAGTCCACCTGTGTGACCACACGGGGACCAAATGCCTAAAAGAAACGGAACCAAATGCCTCAAATTTCTGAGACTTTTGGTCCCCCTGTGAGTATGCCCTGATTGAATGTCTGCTGAGCCAAGATTGGGCCTCGCTGCACAACATGAAAATTTTCAAGAGCACTTCTAGCACTGTCAGAGCCCTGGATTTGCATCAAGCGCTGTCATCGCTCCACTTACTGCGGACTCCCTACTCTCATTAGCATTCTTGACTGTCGGACAAACACTACACGACAGACAGGGCATCGACTGTTTGTCCACCTAGACTGGAGGCCAACTCTCGAATTTGCAAACCGCACGAAGGGACTGGCCAGCCTTGTTTGTAGAAAACATCCCCGCATGCGGGAACTGTGGAAACTTCCAGTGCTCGTCCGATGGACCGCTTCTGACACCTCTTGAAGCGCCGGACCAAGAGCACTTTTCCACAGTTAGTGCAGCGATGACTCACTCTCCACCTTTTCGAGAGTGAATCTGACAGCTCTTGAATGGAAATTCAGGACGCGGAATCAAGAGTTAGTGCAGCGGTGATGAACTCTTGATTTCTCAAGATTCAAGAGTAGTGCAGGAAGGCCCATTGACTCCCTTCCGAAGACTTTTGCATTGCATCATCTTTCGGATTCTTTCAATTCACCGTCAGCACCTAGCTACCACGGCAATCCAAAGAAAAAGAAAAAAAATGCTTCTGACGGCAAGAAATTGAAAAAAAGAAAAAGAAAAAGATCTGACGGGATAAGGGCTCGCTC